TCATTGAACAAGTTGATGAACATGTTGAACATGACACATCCACACTTCATTCGTTGCATTATTCCGAACGAAAAGAAGGCCTCAGGTGTTATCGACGCTAGTCTTGTATTGAATCAACTCACATGCAACGGTGTACTTGAGGGCATTCGTATTTGCCGTAAAGGCTTCCCGAACAGGTGAGTCGTCCCACTTGAATAATATCCATAGAAATTGCATTAGCTGAAACTCTAATTGAAACTCAACCACATCATCAAAGAGAATAGCAAACTTGTATTCAAACACTTCACGTAGAACTATGCTGTGTGCAGAATTTAAATCTTTCAAAATTTCATTGAGTGAATAATCCGAATGAAGAAATCTTTTGAATGCGGCGTTTTACAATGAGAACGACGATTTCAACGTTCTCAGTGTTTTGACGATAAAACGAATAATTTGCTAAAAGCGAGAGGAAAATCTTCAATATTCGTTTCAATAAGAACAATAATCAGGTCAACAATCAACAATTTTTTTGAAAAATTTAGTTGAAAAAATTAAGCTTCCAAGTTTTTGTTTGCAGAATGCTTCACGCCGATTTCCGTCAACGCTATTCAATTTTGGCCGCAGATGAGGCGAATTCCTCGCCTGATTCCAAAAAATGCGCCGCAGCTATTTTGGCTAAAGTTGTCAAGAGCGGAACGTTGACAGAGGAGAATTTCCGAGTTGGTGAAACCAAGGTGTTCTTTAAAGCCGGCATTTTGGCGCATTTGGAGGATGTCAGAGATGAGATTTTAAGAACGATCATGACCAAACTTCAAGCGTTCGTTCGCTGGTATTTGGGTCTGATCGATCGTAAACGTCGTACCGAGCAACGAGCCGGACTGGTCGTGCTGCAGCGCAATGTACGGCAATGGTGTACGTTACGTAAATGGGAATGGTTCAAACTGTACACGAAAGTGCGACCAATGTTGCGTGACGGCAAGATTGCTGAACAAATAGACAAATTGAAAGAACGTATAGCCGAACTCGAAGAAGGTATTCAGAAAGAGCAGAGTATGAAGAATGAATTGGACCGAACCGCTAAGAAGAACGAAAAAGAGAAGAGCGATTTGATGGCGCAGCTAGAAGAGATTAGCCGAAAGGCCGATGAGCTCTCGGCGAAAGCCGATAGTGAGTCGAAGGGNCATGCTTATGGAAACATTTTCGTTTGTTTGACACTGATCTATCACGTAGATCATATGGAATGTCGGTTGGATAATTTGTTGCAATGCCTTCCTGTTCAGTCGTTGTTCTTAAACGCAACAACCAAAACGATTCATTCAAAATATCATCTTGAAGCCATTAGAGGTGAGAATGATCGCGAATGACTGCTTTTCAGGAGCTTGAACAACGTCTCGAGGAAGCCGACGAACGAAATGGCGATTTGCTTCGTGCGAAAAAGAAGGCCGAAGGTGAAGTGGAAAGTATCCGAAAACAGATTCAAGACGTCGAAATGAGCGCACGTAAAGCGGAAACCGAACGTCAATCGAAAGATCACCAAATTCGCTCAGTGCAAGATGAAATGCAACAGCAAGAGCAAGTGATCGCTAAACTCAGCAAAGAATTGAAGCATCAAGAGGAGATGAACAAAAAAATACTGGAGGACCTTAATTGTGAAGGCGATAAAAGTAATCATGTTGCTAAAATCAAGAGCAAACTCGAGCAAACTCTCGCCGAGATGGAGGACAGTTTGGAACGCGAATGTCGTGCCAAATCTGACACTGAGAAAGCACGCCGAAAGGTCGAAGGTGAGCTGAAGATGGGCAACGAGACAATGGACGAGATCACAAAGCAGAAACACGACCTGGAGAACAGTTTGAAGCGTAAAGAGGCGGAAATGGTCAATCTAAGCGGGCGTTTAGACGAAGAACAATCGTTGGTGAATCGTCTGCAAAGACAGATCAAAGAAGCGCAAAGTCGCTTGAGTGAACTGAGTGATGAGCGTGAAATGGAACATGAAGCAAAAAGTAAGTCGGATCGCATAAAATCTGAGTTGCAACATGAATTAGCTGAACTCAGCGAACGTTTGGACGAGCAAGACGGTGCGACGGCCAGTCAGATCGAGATGAACAAGAAACGTGAAGCCGAGTTGGCCAGGTTAAGACATGACATTGAAGAGGCGAATCTCAGTCATGAAACACAACTGCATGCGTTGAAAAAGAAGCAAACCGATGCGGTGGCTGAGCTGGGCGATCAACTCGAGCAAATCACCAAACAGAAACT